GTTCTTGGAGGATGGGTTTTTTTAAAAAATTAATGGTCCTGGATGACTGTGTTTTTGCTTCTTGGATGCTTGGAAAATTTTAATTGCTTATTCAAAGAATAAAAAAAGTAGAAAATAATTTGCTGAATAACTGGCTTTTTCTGAAAAAATTTTTCTGGATATTAGGGATTTTTCTAAAAAGTGAGGTGGTGGATTGCTTAACTTATATATAAAATAAATTAAAAGTATTTATATGGAACAAAAAAATTATGACAATCAAAATGACAACCAAACATATAAATTTAACCAAAACAATAATCTGTCATACTTGAAAGGAGGAGAATATAACGCCATTTTGGCGTAGATAATCAGGAAAAATAAGGCTTAAAAAGCCAAAAATTACAACAATAAGGTAAGTTCACTGCTTACTAATTTGATAAATTAAAAAACGATTGGCTAGTTCTGTAAAAGTTAGCAAATTAAATAACAATTTTAAAATAAAATAAAGTAAATAAATAAAAAGCAAAAACAATATGGTTAAAGAAAATTTAATACCAAAAACCGAAACGGTTTATGAAATAAAAAATGAAATTCCTAGTTTTGAGGAGTTTATGAAGGGTTATGAAGGAGGTGTTAATTATGCTGATTTAAACTTATATGATATTAGTGTAGATAAATGTTATGGACCTGGATGTAATGGTTATTGGCCTTGTGGTGATTCTAGATGTTATGGTTCTAATGCTTGTTTGTATAATGAGAGATTTTTTTTACTTCACACTCCTTGTCCAGCAGCAAGGTGTCCAAACCAGCAGCAAAAAAATGCAACTTATTGGGTTCATGATAATCCTGGTTGTGGTAATCGCGGAGATCTCAGCAGAGATAAGATAACTAATAAACTTCGTATTAGGTGTCCTGATTGTTTTAATACTAGTCATATGAAGTATCATAAGTTCACTTGTTCAGCACATAAAGACAGACACTGATGGACTAGTTCCATGTCTTTTTCGAGAGCTTTTTCCATAATTTATGGCAATAAAGAGATTCCCATGGATGTATATCTTGAAATGCTTGCGGATTTAAGAAATCCGGGAAATCAATGAGAAGCAAGAGAAGATGACGAATAAAAAAATTATAAACATAAGTAATAAATAAGTATATTATAATATAATGCTATGCCAAAACAACAAGAATTAATACAGACACAAAAACAATTATCTGCTTATGACAAGCAAACAGTCCATCAACTTTTTCGTCTTTCCCTAGAATGACTGGAAAAGTATGTTGAGGTGGTTTATCCTGATTACAAAATTAGGAAGCAAATTCACGATGACAATATTAAAAGGCAAGATGCTAACGACCCGAATAAGGTTGAAGGTTTATTTACTGGTGCATTGTTTGGATTTAAAGTTACAATAGAGATAGCGGGTAAACCTAAGTTCCTTTATGATGAAGTGAAAGAAGAATATTATAAATGGTTGGGCGGTTCGGGAATTGATGTTAATAATTGTCCCGAAAGGTTAAGACATTTTTTAGTTGAGGTTAATGAGATATTGGAGGGACGAGGGGATAAATTTGAAAGGGATATAGCAAATAGAAAGTGACAGATTGATCCTCATTCTCCTGAATACGAAGAGGCAATTAATAGGTTATTTACTAACATACAAGAGCCATTGGGAAATGCTAGGAGAGAGCATGAGTCTCTCAAAGGTAAATCTCACAAAGACATAAAGATTGAGAATAATTTTGCTGGTAGCGGAGAACAAGTTAAAAAAGTTTTTCAGGAAATTTCAGGAAGATATGACTATCAAGGTTTTCATTTTTTACCCCAAGATGATGATAGATCCAGTGTGGGAGTAGACAGTTCTAATGTTTCTCGGGGAATTGATTTTCAGCAACGGCCGAGTTCTGTTATAGTTCGAAATGTTAAACAAGATCCAAATCATTGAAGAATTGATGAAGTTATTATTAATGGAGAAAGAAAAATAGCATTAGTTCATCATTCGGTTCTGGATGAGGAAGTAGATTTAAACTCCCAACCAGTATATTTACCTCAAAGATTTAACCAAGAAGAAATTAATGAAATCAATAGAGTTCTCAATATTTCCCAAAGTCCAACCAGCAGTTCCAGTTATTATCATCAGCAAGAACCGACCAATAGTTCAGTCTCTCCTAGCCAAGATAATAATTCTGGTAAAGGAGGAATTTTCGCCATTATTGGCGTAGTTAGTGCTTTACTAATTGCTGGCGGAGTAGTAATAAAAAAACGATTAAGCAGAAAAATAAAAAGATAAGCAGTCTTGTTGTTAAAGTTAAAATAAAAAGGGGGCTTGGCTAAACCTATCAACAAATAGTCAGTTTAAGGGGAGTGTCCTGCTCCCCCTAATAATTGCGGTTCTCACTGAAATTATTAGTTAGAAATTTTTCCAATTCTGCTAAGTCCAGAAGGCAAAGAAAGCACAACACAGAAAATAATTTTTTTTTGCTACTTTTTTTATTAGACAATAGGGGAGGATAAAACACTAGAATATATTATACTTTTACAACAAAATTATTATCAACCTACAAATATAGGGGATTAATAATTAGGAGGGGTTGATTAAATAAATCCTTCCTTGAAAGAGTATAAAAGAACTTAGAAAAAACCCTCCTAACCATGAACTGAAACGGAAAAGACCAGAGGAAAGAAAAACACCTATTTAAAACCATCTACTGTGGAGAATGTAAGCAGAGAAAAAGTTGTGGTAAACTAAGCCGAGCCTTTTGTTAGTTCTTGTCAATATCAAATGGAGCAGGAGAAAGCCAAAGAATATTCCTCTTATCAACAAGTTTATCAGCGAAAGGTTAAGGAGCAGCAAGATAGTTATCAGCAATTAAAACTTTTGCGAGAATATTCCGGCTGTAAGCAATGTGGTAGTAAAGAAGTAGATGCTTATGACTTGTATAGTAAAGGCCAAGCGATTTGCCAACCCTGCTTAATGAGAAAAGAGGGCAGTTCTAGTAGTCCGATTAGTTTTTTAGAGCAGGAGAAGTGGTATAAAAGGTGATGGAAAATAGATTTAACTGAATGACTAGAAAATTTTTCGCAATTACCAGTCAATAAAAATTGTGCGGATAAGTGAAAAAGGGACAGAAATCATTTAAAGAATTGTCAATGCTTAAAGCAAGAAGCAAAAGAGACTTATTTATTGTTTGCTAATTCACTAAAAGAAAGTAAAGAAAAATTAAAAGAGTGTCAGTGTGAAACTAGCAAAAAAGTAAGGGTTGATTATTTGGATAGTGGCGGAAGTGGTTGGACTTATTGTGAAAAGTGTGAAGCAAGAATAGAGAGTGCGGGACATCATGGAGTAATTAAGAATAGGAATAGCCCTAGTTTTTGAGGACTAAAAGTAAAAGAAAGGGTTTTATGCTTAAAATGTTTAGGGAAATTCCAAGAGAAAATGCCAATTAATAAGAAATATACCTTTAATAAGTATTTGAAAAGGGGATATTAGCACCTTGTCAATATTCCTCACCTAATGGTTCATTAAGTCAGGAATATTTATTTAGTATAGTTTATAAATAAACTATTTACTTTTTA